GGACAGTTTCACATTTGGTGTTATTTATTTTCTCTTTGTTTTCACGATAAAGAAAGCGTTATCCAATGACCGATGTCATTGAGCGCAGTGCTGTGACTCACACTCCCATGAGTGTGTCATTGAGGTGTAAACAGCAAATAAACATCCATTCATACAGAGATCTAGAATTCACCAAAATTCTGCCTGGGATTTTTGTCCCAGAAAGGGAATTTCACAACGAATGGGAGAAGACCATTCGTAAATCTGATCCTAGATCAGATGACCTCCACTCATGAAACCTTATCTGCTTGTGAGACACTGCATAACATGGGCATATTCAGATTACTTAACAAGCAACATGATTGAGCATGCTTCAGGTAATTCCCAGCTGGCAAGAAACAGATTTCTAAAACAGTGTCCTTGTGGTGTTATCAGTGGCATTATAAATGCAGACTTTGCCCCATGTGGTAAATGTGGCTTATAGCTTCCACTTCCTAAGGCTATGGAAAAAAAATCAATAATTAAATGGTGTAGCTGTGCAGCCCAAGAGGACAGAGGGCAGTCTTATTTCTGTCTCGTCTTTGATTCATGAGCAGATACTGTTAATAAGATAAGCTGAGGTGCAAACAAAAGACATTTAAGGAGAAATCGTTATCTCTAAAATGAATATTGCTCAACAATGGTCTCTTCACTGTAAATCATTCTAGTTGTGTAATGTAAAACAGCACAGTTTTTCAACCAGATCCTGATCATTATTATTATTGCAAATGGCATAAATAATTCTTTAACTATGTGTGGCAATCTCTGCATCCTTATGTTCAGTACATGATGAAGTCTTCATGGCTTAAGTATTGGCTTTATGCCTGTAAATTGGCTGAAGTGGTGATCTGCACATGTATAATGGAAGATATATATGTATAACTGATTAAAATTATGTAAGGTGTGTGCCTTCTGGGGCCGAGGTTTTTCAAAGCGGCTTAAGTATATTGTTGGCATGTATAATAAATCTTCATTAATGCTATATCTTGAGACCTGATTCTGAGAAACATCAGGACACTTTCAGAAGAAAATGTGCAAAAAATTGGACCTTTAGGGACAGCACAGCTTGTCACTGTGGCTGTGCCTTAACTTTGTACCTTATTTACCGTTAAAAGGTTCATAGTATACCTTAAGGGTATATTACCAGGGTTATTATAGTTAATTAAAATTATAATGAAATTAAAACCATAAAAAAAGCAAATAAACCTGACTGAAATAAAAAAAAAAGTTTTTATTAAATTACTAAAGATGACTAACACTACAGACAACACAACAGATTCAAATATTAATTAAAACTATATCAGAAGCTAAATTCTACTAAATAACACTGCATATTACTACACTGTAAAATATGTTTTTTGAAGATGTAAAAAAAATATATTTGATTTTTTTCATTATTATTGGAGCATGTTTTACAGGAAAATACTATTTCAGTATTTCTACTTCAAATTTCACATTTAATTGAATGCTATTGCCATTTCTTTGTAATTATTTGTGAAATTTACCAGCAATTTCTAAGCGAAAACTGTTTCAAAATAATCCTACCATTTTTTTCAGTACCCTCTAAATAATATGCATCTTTTATGAACTCTAAAGGTACCATTTTTTACACATTTCTCCCCTGTAATATATAGTCTGCAAAGCTGTTAAAATTTACCATGTTGATCTTTACCATTTTATTTATTCAATAAATTTGATTTTGTTTCCTTCATGTGTCAGTAACAAACAACTACCCATTGAAGTTCCTTTCTATACTCTCATAGGAAGCTTGTATACTTGAATTCTGGAGATCTGCAAGTCTTACCCATTCAGCGCTTATTTAATTTTAAAACCTAGCTAAAAACAGCATTTTTAAGCTCCTGACTTTAAGATCATAGAGATATTCTGACAATATTAAGCATGTGGCTGTAGTTATTTGCATGATATCTCTCTCCTGAAACCTCGTCTGCAGTGACCCGGAAACCCATAATCCCAAGCGTGGATCCATAACCATGGCAATGTAGCAGTGCTGCTGCTCAGGGTAAATAGCAGCAGCAGCTGGTTCCAATTGCACTGCAGCACAAGGGAACGGGAGGGGGGCGATGTATGCGTAAGGAGGTGTCTATGAGGTGCTTTAACTCTCTAGCATTGGCATTCTTTACAATAAACTTTGGGAGCATCTCTACAAGCAATATTAGCTGTATAAAACTATATTTTAGGTAGTTGAGCAGGTATTTATTTAAAAAACAATGTGGGGAATATCCTTCCTGTATCAAACCTTTACCTAAGCCGTTGGCTATTTTATTTTATAGATTACATGAAATGCATAGGGATGACTGGCCTTATCTTGCACAATCAGGCTCCACGCAAAGGGTGTGGACACCAGGGCTTCTCAGCAAGACCCCAAGCACAGCTGACAGTGAATCTGCAGATCTGAGGGGTGTTGGAAGGAGATTTGGGGGTGGGGGGAAGGTAAATAATTCATGAGGCACAGACACATTATGAGGCCTGATGCTGAGCGTTTGATGTCCACACATTTGTGGGCAGTAGCTGCACTAATGAACATAAGAACATTAATTAGTGCTATACTTTGCATACAGTCTGTGTTGGGGAAGCTCGGTCATTATAGAAGATAATTCTGTTATTAGGTATTATTGATAGCAAGACAACTTTTAAACATTTAAACAATAAATAAATAAAAGCAACCAGATTGCTACTTTTCAATCAATGTATTGTTGGCTAAAACTAAAATGAAAGCCAAAACTATTAAAAATAATTTCGGTAATTTAAATAAATTGGAAATAAAATAAAAATATAAATATTATATGAAAAGCTTAAAAAACGAAAAAATGATAAATGTTGCCTTGTCACAACCAACTGAAATAAGTTTAAATTTAAGTACTAAAATTAATAAAACTGAAATAAAAATCTTTCAAATTAAAGCTATAGAAATATTTAAAAAGTAATAAAAATGACAAAACAAAAGTACTAAAACTATAATTAAAATGTAAACTGAAATATACAATAAATAATAATAAATACTATAATAGTAAATAAATAATACTAAAATAACACTCTTTTGAATCCAGAATGACACAAAATCAGATTTTTTTTGCAAATACAGTTTTAATGGATGGTTTTCAAATGAACATCCATTAGAGGAAGTGATGGCTGCACATGGCTGATGGCAGTAACATTTGAATGCCAAATTCAGACACAATCATGACACTGTGATGAAATTCACTTTCAGACCCACAGGCTTTTAGAGCCACTGTTCAACAAAACAGATCAGATCTGGATAAAAAAAAAAAACTGTAGTCAGACTATCTGATTTACAGTTTTAAAGCACAGCCTCAGAGAATCCTGAAAAAAAGTATCATGGCTTTCACAGAAACATTAAGCAGCACAACTCTTTTTTAACATTAATGATACAAAATGTTTCTTGAGCAGCAAATCAGCATATTAGGATGATTTCTGAAAGATCATGTGACACTGAAGACTGGAGTAATGATGCTGAAAATCCAGCCATCACAGGAATAAATTATTATTTTAAATACATTAAAATAGAAAACATATTTTAAATATTATTTCACAACAGTTTTACTGTATTTTTGATCAAATAAATGCAGTGATGAACATGACTTCTCTCAAAAACATTAAAAATGTTATAGCCATTTTTTGAGCTTTTGAATGGTATTTGCGGTATGAAAATATGTGAAGTATGAAACATTTAGGAAAAATAAACATGACCCTTTTTTTCTGTCTTGACCAACATGTAGGCTACTTTGAACACTTTGACAATAATATCAAGTAAAAATTCACTGAACAAAAATTCTACCTTCTAAAAATGAAAACGTATGTTTTGTCTTTTGCCAAATTTACCTGCAGTGATAAGTTTAATTCCAATTTTTTAAACAAAGATGTCGTTAACCACATGATGACGACAATATTTTTATAGACAAAACAATGATTTCAGACCCTAAGCGGTCGAATTGACCATTTGCATTTACAAAAGAAGAAACTTGACATTTGTATTGCGTCCCGGGACAGGGAGTGGCTGGCCACTGACCACAGATAGGCGTTGCCTTGGGAACAGATGCTCTCTAGACAATAGATTTGGTGAACGGCGAATAATTTTATGAAACACAAACATATCAAACACAAGAAGCAGCATGGGCACACCTCAGGGTATGTGTGTGTGTGTGTGTGACCCACCTTCATTCCTTAATCAGACCAACCCATGTCTAGTTCTGCTGGTTAGTAGCAGGGGATCCTTCTGCCGGGCACAGACATTTATAAATACTGAAGGAGTATGTGTTCAAAAGGAATCATAAAAAAAGAAATCATAAATGTATAATAGTAAAGCAAAGTGTGTGTCTGTTAAGAATAATCTAAATTTAAATAAACTAAGCTTGTAAGCACAAGAAATTTCACTGCTAACTTAAATGGTGAACAGTGTACTATAAACATTGTCCTGGGTTATCTGGGTACAAAACAAAAATAAAAAACTATGTACTGCAGATGTTTGCTAAATTCATTGTAGCATATAATCTCTGATTTATTTTGAACCAAATCAAGTGACAATAAGACTAACTGAAATAAACCTGGCTTATTTTATTTGGTAAACTTGTTTTATGAAACAGCACCCAGGGCTGTTTATTTCAGTTAGTCTTACTTATTGTCAGTCGATTTGGTTCAAAATAAGTCAGACTAACTGAAATAAGCCTGGTTTGGTAAACTTGTTTTATGAAACTACCCAGGTCAATAGTCTCAGTCCAAAAGGCTACTACAACCAATATGTAAATATAGCCTAATAACAGATAGATATATAGGAACAGAGTTATAGTGTTAATACAAATAGATGCCTTTTTAATAGTTTATGAGAGGCAATCGTGAGCGCGCGTCGTGCGGAATGGAAAAGTTAGTGAGGGGAGAGAGAGAGAGAGAGAGAGAGAGAGAGAGAGAGAGAGACTCTCCGTCGCCATTACTGACTGGAATGAGAGGGGAGGGGATGGCTCACCGATTACACGCATACCACTCTTACTGCTAGAAAACACTGAAAACAACCACTTTGGGGAAATTTCGCCGATTATTCCAACCGCTCACGGGAAACGCGACAAAACTGTGATTTGTTTCGGTATCGCATGAGCAGAAATTAAAGGAAATAGTTGGAATGCCTCCTCCTATCTGTGGTGTCTGGAGCTGGGAGCGACCATGTTAGGTAGGGGAATGTACACGGAGTATGTGACTTTCCAGCATGCTTTTTGTCGTTTGCTTTACTGAATTTGGTTTAATGTGTGATTTAGTTCCACGTCTAGGCGGTAGTTGTGTAGCTTTATGTAAATGCACAGATTTGTCTGTCTCGCTTACAGTGCGTTATGTCGGTGTCACACTTAACTAGCCCTGGCTAAATGGGAAGCTAGCAAGCAAAGGAAGCATATAATGCCTTGTTAGAGGCAAGGCCCGTGTCGATGCGAATACAAATAAGCATATGAACACATACTAAACAGATCTAAATCGCCGTGTTATTTAATGCAAGAGCGTGTGCGTATTGATTGTCTTGTGATAAAACTATTCTGATGTGAAATTAAATTCCTGGGATTCAAATGGAGTGGACGCTTGTGGGTTTTGAAGTAAATGATGCACACATTCTTGGCAATTTGGAAGCCACATCTAGCAATAATTCTCTCGACTAGTTGTGGGAATCGTCGCTTGCACATCTGATCGCAGTGTGGCTCGTAATAGCGCTTCTGTTCGTTATTCCTTATCACCTTCAGCAGATGCTTGTGTCTGCTTTACATCCTCGCTTAGAAATACAGCCCACCGTCAAGAAACACGTCTCGACATTGATGTCCTATGTTTCCGTGATTTAACGCCCGTGAAGTCCTGTCGTTGATGTCTCATAAATGCGGTCATGTATGACATCCACCTCAATACAAAGGGATATTTCGGCCAAAATGAAATTTCTGTCATAATTTACTCCAGTCTTCCCACGGTTATGGAAGAACTGAAAAAATCTGAGACTGAGAATGATAAAAAGTGTTTTCCCTACCCGAAATTAATAACATCTTAAAATTCATGAGCATTTTTAAACTGAATATGCAGTTTGTAGTTATGTTAAAATTGTGCGATATTTCATCATATAGGCTAGGTATTGATTTTGTGTAGAGTGATTTGATTTGGTTGTTCTTTTGAGTCGGTTCTTTTGAATGAATCGGTCAAACTGGTTCACGAAATGTTTGAAAGATTCATTAGCAAGTCGATGTGAATCTAAATGTCCTTTAAAAGTCCTTAGACCTTATACAGTAATTATAAATGACTGAAAAAGACCTGGGAATGTATTGATCAAACAATGTATGCCTTTATTTCTTCTGTGGAACAAAGAATGGCAGCTTCATTTATCAGTTACTTTCATTATGTGGAAAACAGATGCAATAAAAAAAGTGACTCAGGCTGTCATTCTGGCTAAGATCTCCTTTTGTGTCCCACTGAGAAAGAAAGTCATACAGGTTTGGAACGACACAAAGATGAGTAAATGATGACACAATTTTCACAAATGTGAATCTTTTAAAGACACGTCATGCCAAATAGGCCTGTCGCAATAATCAGTATATCGACTTATCGTGCAATATGTGTGCATGACCTCAATAATTTTTGGTGACGCAATATATCGGCCATTATATTTACTTAAAAATTAATGTCACCATGTTTTGTACATTCCACTTGCGCCTGTGTCTTTTGCAACTTCTCGTGCATAACGTGGTGTAGTCATGAGGTGCTAGTTCAAATAAAAAAAATGCTTATACAAAAAAAAGTTTAATCTGCAGATATGGCCTTGTTTAGGGATCTGTGTCTTTGTGCATACAGACATCTGACTGCTAAATAGTGATTGTGTTTTTCAGCAATAGTGTGCACCCTTAATTTACAGAGAAAAGAAGGTCAGGCAAAAATCTGTAGATGGAAAAATCTCCATACAAGTTCTTTGTGCATTTTTCTTTTTTTCTACTTGTTACTTTGCACTTTCTGTTAGAAAATGTGTATTTACTATTTATTCAGGTTTTTTAAGGTATCTAATATTTTGATACTTAATTTCCATGATCTAAATATTCTTAAAAATGAAAAGTTTGTTGTCATTTGGAAGTGAGTAGGCCTTCTTGCATTATTATGCTGTTACATTATTATTATATATTCAGTGGCATAAAATAGTCTTTAAAATGACAATAATATCGCTTATCGCAGTTATTTCTGGGGCAATATATAGCACAACAAAAAGTTGTTATCGTGACAGGCCTACTGCCAAATTCAAAAGTGGTTCTAGTTATGCTTTTAAGAGCCAACACTGAATTGAATTGCATTTATAAGATATTTTCTTGCAGTTGTTTTTTTTATCATGAACTTAATGCTCTTGAGTGTAAATTAGCCAATTTGCTGCCTTATTTCTACTGACAGATGCATTTGTTTGGTAGTACAAAGCTTGTCACTGCAGATGACAAGCATAGCTTGCATATTTTCTAAAAACACTGGAGTACATGCAGTAAACGCATATTACAGTGAAAGAGCTAGTGCCACAGTGTCAGTACTCCTACTTATGATAAATGAATGCATTGAAGATGTGTCACATGTGGATTGTTGAGATAGTTTTGTACCCTGAGCAGTTGTGGTAGTGTTTGCAGACTTTATAAAAAGGGTATTCAAAATGCAAATGCATTGGCAATAATATTTCATAATAGTATTGTTAGTGTCATGCTTGAATTTTTAGATAACAGTAATGATGCATACTGTTATGTTGCGTATTGTGAGTCATAATTTTTTATTGTACTTGTTTGTTTTGTATTGTGATTGTGCCTGTGTTGTCATCTGACTTATTAAATTCAGTATGATAAATGATAAGTGTTTGGCTATTGAAAACAAAACTTTACACTTCATCTTATTGTTGACTAATTTAATATTTTTTTATTGCAGGAAGGTGATAGGAGAGGAAAGAGCAGTCGTCCGGGTCAGATGATCAAGATTAAAGCTACATCGGCTCATGCAAAGTGAGAAATGGAAATGCGCCTGCACTAGCAAATGGAAGTACGTGCTTGCCTGGCCGGCATACTTTGCTTAGCGTAACAAGCAATGAGAGGGGCAATATAATGGCCAAGAATAAGGAGCCCCGTCCGACATACGCTATCAGTGTCGTCGGACTCTCAGGCACTGAGAAAGAGAAGGGCAACTGCGGCGTAGGTAAATCCTGCCTATGCAACAGATATGTGCACCCCAGTGCGGACTGCTACTACTTGGAGCACACTTCTGTGTTGAGCACAATTGACTTTGGAGGGCGCGTGGTGAATAACGATCATTTCTTATACTGGGGTGAAGTGTTACATCGAGGGGATGATGGCCTCGAGTGTCGAATCCAGGTCATTGAGCAGACTGAGTTCATTGATGACCAAACGTTCTTGCCTCATCGGAGCACAAACCTGCAGCCTTACACGAAAAGGGCTGCAAATACGAAGCTTCAGTCTGCTGAGAAGCTGATGTACATTTGCACAGATCAGCTTGGGTTGGAACAGGATTTTGATCAGAAGGTTTGAAAAGCTCATCGTTCAAACTGTCCGAGATTATCACACAAGCTGGAAAATTGTGAGCAATAAGTTGAAAAGCCACCCAGACTATAACGAGTACATCAATATAGAAGGCACCAAAAAGGCTAGAAACACCTTTTCGAAGCACATAGAACAGCTGAGACAAGAGCACATCAAGAGGCGGCGTGAGGATTACCTTAAAAGTCTGCCAAAAATTCTTAATAAGTTGCTGAACAACCTGGAGGAAATTGAGATGCTGAGTTGGACTGAAGCTCAGAGCCTTATGAAGAGCAGGCCTGAGTTTCAGTACTGTTTCATTGAGTTAGAACAAACGCCGTGGTATGAGACAGACCACCTCGATAAAACCGACGACAGAAGAGTGCCCTTCGATATCCTCAAAACCATGGAAGGAGAGAGGATTTATCAAAACCACGTACAGCATTTGATATCTGACAAGAGGCGTTTGGAGATGAAGGAGAAATTCAAGAAGACGCTGGAGCGAGTGCATTTCATTAGCCCCGGCCAGCCGTGGGAAGAGGTCATGTGCTTTGTCATGGAGGACGAGGCATACAAGCACATCACCGAATCAGATCGCAGGGATGTTTACAGTCGGCATCAGCAGGAAATAGTTGAAAGGGCCAAAGAGGAGTTTCAGGAAATGCTTTTTGAGCATGCAGAGCTGTTCTATGACCTCGATTTGAACGCGACCCCGAGCTATGACAAAATGAGTGAGATTCATGCCGTGCTTAACGAGGAACCTAGATACAGAGCTCTCCAGAAACTCGCCACTGACAGGGAATCACTTTTACTGAAACACATCGGGTTTGTCTATCACCCCACGAAGGAAACGTGCCTCAGTGGCACAGCCTGCATCGATCTCAAAGTCGAGCAAGTCCTCGCCAACCGGCTGGTTCAGCTAGATCATGGCCGCTCGAATATCTACTACAATAGTGCCAACATTGATAAGGTTAACTTGTGTCTCGTGGGCAGAGAAGGATTGGCGCAGGAGCTCGCAAATGAAATCCGAGCTCAGTCCACTGATGATGAATACAGCCTTGATGGGAAAATCTATGAATTAGACCTTTTGCCTGTGGATGTCAATTCCGGCATGCTTTTGAACCATTCCTGGATATCGACTTTCAAGCCCCATGGGTTCTTTTGTGTCTTCAGCTCTATAGAGTCGCTTAATTACATCGGTGACCGCGTAAGCCGGATCCGAGCTGAGATTGCCCAGAGCAGAAGGGATAGGTATAGCCAGCCGGTGCCATTCATTCTCATTCTAGCAAATCAGCGTGACAGTGTTTGCAAAAACATGCCTATTTTGAGGCATCAAGGCCAACAGCTTGCAAATAAGCTACAGTGTACTTTTGTAGATATACTCTCCGGCACTTTCCCCAGAAAGTTTAATGAGTCTCAGATAAAACAGGCCCTCAGAGCGGTGTTGGAGGGATTGAAGCACAATTTCGACATGATGAGCCCCATGCCCTCCATTAAGGATCTGTCGGAGACAGATTTGCGGATAGTCATGTGTGCCATGTGTGGAGATCCGTTCAGCGTGGATCTCATTCTCTCACCATTCTTGGACTCACATTCCTGTAGCGCCGGACAGCCCGGGCAGTGCAACACATTGATCCTTGACAAAATCATCGGCGACAGCCGCAGACGCATACAGGTCACTGTGCTCTCCTACCACTCCTCCATTGGAATCAGAAAGGACGAATTGGTGCATGGGTACATTCTTGTTTACTCAGCAAAACGAAAGTCTTCCATGGCTATGCTGAGGGCGTTCCTGGCTGAAGTCCAGGATGTCATTCCAGTTCAACTGGTGGCCATTACGGACAGCCAAGCGGACTTCTTCGAGAACGAGGCGATAAAAGAGCTAATGACTGAAGGTGAGCACATTGCCACAGAAATTACGGCCAAGTTTACCGCTCTCTACTCCTTGTCCCAGTATCACAGACAGACAGAAGTTTTCACGCCATTTTTCAACGAGGTCCTCGAGAAGAAGAGCAACATTGAAAGCTCCTTCATGTTCGACAACAGCAGGGATGGAACAGGCACCGGGGAAGACGCTGAGATTGCCCAGAGCAGAAGGGATAGGTATAGCCAGCCGGTGCCATTCATTCTCATTCTAGCAAATCAGCGTGACAGTGTTTGCAAAAACATGCCTATTTTGAGGCATCAAGGCCAACAGCTTGCAAATAAGCTACAGTGTACTTTTGTAGATATACTCTCCGGCACTTTCCCCAGAAAGTTTAATGAGTCTCAGATAAAACAGGCCCTCAGAGCGGTGTTGGAGGGATTGAAGCACAATTTCGACATGATGAGCCCCATGCCCTCCATTAAGGATCTGTCGGAGACAGATTTGCGGATAGTCATGTGTGCCATGTGTGGAGATCCGTTCAGCGTGGATCTCATTCTCTCACCATTCTTGGACTCACATTCCTGTAGCGCCGGACAGCCCGGGCAGTGCAACACATTGATCCTTGACAAAATCATCGGCGACAGCCGCAGACGCATACAGGTCACTGTGCTCTCCTACCACTCCTCCATTGGAATCAGAAAGGACGAATTGGTGCATGGGTACATTCTTGTTTACTCAGCAAAACGAAAGTCTTCCATGGCTATGCTGAGGGCGTTCCTGGCTGAAGTCCAGGATGTCATTCCAGTTCAACTGGTGGCCATTACGGACAGCCAAGCGGACTTCTTCGAGAACGAGGCGATAAAAGAGCTAATGACTGAAGGTGAGCACATTGCCACAGAAATTACGGCCAAGTTTACCGCTCTCTACTCCTTGTCCCAGTATCACAGACAGACAGAAGTTTTCACGCCATTTTTCAACGAGGTCCTCGAGAAGAAGAGCAACATTGAAAGCTACTTTATTTTCGATAATGGCAGGGACGGAACAGGCACCGGTGAAGACGTCTTCCCGCAGTCACCTCATAGCCATTCGCCTGCCTACCAGTATTACCCTGACTCTGAGGACGATGGGGAGGGACCGCCACCTTACAGCCCGATAGGCGATGATGTGCAGCTGCTGCCCAATCCTAGTGAACGGAAGTACAGAATCGACCTGGAAGGAAACGAGTACCCAGTTCACAGCACACCTCTTGGTGATCACGAGCGTAACCACAAAGTGCCTCCCCCGGTAAAACCCAAGCCCAATGTGCTGCCCAAGCCCAACGTTAAAAAGCTGGACCCCAACCTACTGAGGACCATTGAAGCTGGAATGAGGACCTCCAGGTGGACACGTGGTCCAATGATGGGTCACAGCGATGACCTTGAAGCATCTGATAACTATGCAGAGCCGGCCGACACTCTTCTCAAATCAAAAGGCTTCAGTGATGACATCTATGCCGTACCGGAAGACGCACACAGCAGATCTGGCAGGATCCGCAATTCGTTCGGCGGACTCGCTTTGCACGGGGATGAGGAGAATGGCTTTGACTCCATGTCTAAGTCTCAGGGTGGCAGAAGGCCTTCTAAGTACAAACATCGTTCCAAGATCCTCTTCAGCAAGACAAAAGCTTATCATAGACGAGTGCACTCGGATGTCAGTGATGATGAGTCGGGGCCTGCGACGCAGAAGAAGAAGAAAGGAAGGGGCAACCGAGGAAGTGAAGAAGATCCACTTCTCTCACCAGTGGATCCTTGGAAAGGAGGGATAGACAATCCAGCCATCACATCGGACCCAGAGCAGGATGATAAGAAAATGAAGAAAAAGAAACCACCAAAGACCAAGGAACCCAAAAAGGTAAGCTACTACTTTTCAATTACCTAGAGAAATCTAAAGTTACTTTAGTAGTTTAATACCACTGTTAAATCTTTAGCAAATTTCAAAATGTATATTCACTTTTCATACTGTATATTATTTTGTAATGCCTAAATTCAGTTTAAAATGATACGTTTTAGTTTTTAGATTGTGTCATCAGCATGCATTGTAGTGATCATGTGTTATTCTCATTTTTTTCTTAACAGACAAAGTCAACAAAGACCACAAAGCCATTGTATCCACCAACTCGTAGGAATTGGGAAAGCAACTATTTTGGGGTGCCTCTTCAGAACTTGGTCACACCTGATAGGCCCATACCTCTGTTCATTGAGAAGTGTGTTGACTACATTGAGCGCACAGGTACGTTTCTTGTTTTTGTAAAGCTGGTTCACTAAATAGCATCCGAAAATGTGGAAATGCTTCTATCAGTTCTCCGGTTTAAAGGCTGTTTGAGAATTGAATCTTTCTTGTGTGAGTTTACTAGCATAAAGTGATTTATGTTTGTCATTTTTGTCCATGGCATTTTTCATTTAGTAGGTTGCAACTTTAGGAACATTTGGTAACAATTTGTCTTTCCTGGTCTTGAGATACTTTACTGAAAATTGTACATTTGTGCGTTTCGTGTTGCTTATTTTGTGAGCCTGATACAGTTCATATGTTAAAGCACAGGAACTCCTGCATGCGGTTCAAATACTATCAACGAGTAAATGAATGAAATCCATTAATCTGAGGTAATAAATTCTGACACAACAGGAAGTTGACGGGCAGGGGTGGAGGGAAGTCCATCTGGTAAATAATTGAATGGATTTTTATGGCACGTGTTATGATTATCTAATTTTTCCCAGAGCACTTTGTTCAGTTAGATTGTGGTTTGCATTTTCATGGACTCTGCAAGTGCTGTGTAAACACTGAGGCCCGTCACATATCTTAGCCACGGGGTGGGTTAACATCATTTCAGGACATGCTGACCATATTTGGACTCGAACAAAGTCCGCTTCATATGCTTAAAGCAGTGATAGAGGCCCTTTAACTGTGCCTGTTTGTTTGGTTACAACATGCCCTTCAGTAGCTTGTTCTGTAACTGTGTTCAATGGAAACTCTGACTAGCACGGCTGTCAATAAGCCCAGCCGACCCATAATATAGCTTGAGGTTTCATGAGCGAGTAGGTGACACCCACATACTGCCGTTCAGGTTGGTTGTGGCTATAGATCAGTGAAACTCATGCATAGATGACATGCACTGATGTGGTTTCTTGAGGAAATTATTAAACTGCAGTTTATGGTTTTTATGGTGTGTACTGGAAGTGGGCAAAGTGTCTGTGGTGAGCGTAATACTAGGTCAATTTGCAGGTTGAACTGGTTTTGCTTTGTGTATGTGTGGCCGTACATACATGAAGCCTTAATGTGATGATCCGAAACACTTTTTTGCTGATCTCATGTTTAGATCTCGCATAGTGCTGTGTCCACAGTTAATGTGCAGGACGATTGATTTTGTTGGTAAGTGGCTTGATTCTGTGTGTGACATGCAGGTTTGTAGACCATAGGGAAACATTTAGCTTAATAAATTTGGTATAATTCATGGGGAGACAAGATGTTAAAATTCTGTTTTCATATCACTGATGATATATAGATATTGAAATTATACACAATTTTGTCTAAAAAAATAAAACTAAAATCATGCATTTTAAAGGCTACAGGTGAATTTAGGCATCACAGCATGTACAATTGTACAGATGTACTATTAAAATTATTTAATTATTTATTTAATTATTTCATATTCATTTTTGAGATTTCCTAAAGATTATCTTTAGGGTTTCACAGTATTAAAATTCTACCAATAATCTGATTTGTTATTCTAAAGTTAACGGATCGAGAACAGATAGATGGACAATATTAAAATGTTATGCAGTTTTGTTAAAAAAAGACTGAAAATTAAAATCAGGCTACAAGTTAATTTAACAATATAATGTACAGTACAAAAAAAAATATTTACTAAAGATTAAATTTAAGTGTTATAATTAAAGTATTTTTAAGATTACCTTTAAGTGATTGTTTGATGATGAAATGCAAATGTAAAAATAGAGGCAATGAGCATTAATAATTAACTGTCCAATAGCATCCGATAAATGTCCAATGTTGACCAGTTTATTTTGTAGTTTATATTTCTACTATTTCTACTATACTACAAAATATATTTCTATTTCTACATTAAGAAATATAAAAAATATACAGTATATATTCAATACTAGTAGTCAATATTAATATTTATTATATTTGAACTACCCCTTTAAAATAAAGCTGTTTTATTGACGATGGCTGAATCTGGGCCTTTTTTTGGTTCCTGTGGAATAGGATGAGATGGCACAGTGTGCCCATGGCTGCGTCTGAGCATCGCAGGGCTCTGTTTAAGAGCTTTTTGAAAGCATCTTGCCTCAAAGAGCTGTGCAGATGAAAAGGCTCATCAAACACCCTGCCCCCCAAGCCAAATGCTTACTCCCTCCCATTTATGCCCCCCTATCTCGCTCTGTACTGCATTGTGAAACCCAGAGGAAATGATAATACTTGACTCTTTTTTTTTTTCTGTGGTCAAGAACAAGTAGTCCAACAATCCACTCCTCCAAACATGGTGTATGCACACACACAGTCCTTTATTTCTCGCGGCCCATCCGTTCTGAAAACCAAGACCCTGCGTTAAAAACTGTACTGAGAAAATGGACTTTATGGATGTTTCCTAATTGACTTTCATGGCTCATTTAGGCCTGGATGCTTCATTTATCCATCAGAAGAGTACCCCCATTGTCATTTCCTCCTTGCAGGGCTTCGCAGTAATAACCCCTTCTGTGTGAAACATTATGGATTTTTAGATATTTTTATGAGACACTAACTATGAAATAAACAATGAACTCAACAGACACAGAGGAAGTACGATCAGAAAAAAATCGTTGCAGCAGTTCCCAGAAAATATTTCCAAACCTTGAAGAGGACGATCATATTCATGAGGCCTACATGAATGTTTAAATCAGCTGACCTCAAAGCGCAATCTTTGTTTTTTACCGTGACGTGCTTCTTCTATCCAAATGAAGGAATTTTGTACCAATTTTGGAAATGTTGCAACAAACAGGATGCAAATTAGGTGCGTTTTAGTTGACTTGATGTGTTCCTTACGGGTGCAGCGGTGCGTTAAACAGCTCTGTGGAAAGGAGGTAATTTACACACAGTCCTTTCTTGTTTAATTTTGCATGTTTGAATTGTTTAAAATGGTTGTGTAATACAGTTGGAACATTAGCTAATTATTCATACAACAAAGCATTTCCTGGAAATATTTAATGTTAATGTTACAACATTTCCAGTAAATGCTTTGGTATGTAAATAGCCCCAATACAGTTAGTTGTTTAGTAATATTCCAATTAGTTAATATTCCAAATGATGTCTTAATATCCAACTAATTAAATTTGAAACATTTATTATTTATTTAAAGGGGTGGTTGATTGCGATTTCACTTTTTTAATTTTAGTTAGTGTGTAATGTTGCTGTTTGATCATAAACAATATCTGCTGCACACGCTTTGCATCTCTCCCTCTCTCTCTCATTCAGATCATCAGCTCAGTGAATACACTTATTTTCACATACGCACTTAGACGCACGCTAGAGGCGGTTTAGCCAATCACAACACACTGGGCCAGCTAATCAATCAGAGCCCATCGTGTATTTCTGAGGGAGGGGCTTCATAAAAGCAGGAAATCATCAGCGCGTTCAGAGGAGAAGGGACAGAGAGGTGTGGAATAAAGGTAAATTATGTGAAAAATAATGCGTTTTTTAACAACCGAAGCATTAACACATGTTAGACTGCACCCCATAAACACAGTCAAGCCTATAAAAAAACCAGTCAACCACCCCTTTAAACAATGCATTTATGTAAATATTTGAATGTTAATTATTAGAATTATACTGTATATATCGAACTAAGTGGAATTGTAATATTAACTTATTAGCATTTGCAAGAAATATTTTAGTATCAACTAATTGGAGTTGGAATATTAAATAATTACTTATGCAACAAAGCATTTTCTGAAATAATATTGGAATATAAATTAATTGGAATTAGAATGCTAATACTCAATTAACTGGAGTTGGAATAATAACTAATTATTTATTTATTAGACTTATAAGTGCATTACCGCCACCTATCTCTCAAGTGGACCATTGACACTCCTAATTGAGATTGTAGATAGAGTGTCAATGGTCCATTTGAGAGATAGGTGGCGGTAATGCACTTATAAGTCTGCGATCCGCCGTAAGGAAAGAAAAAGAAGACGCCTCACGCGCCTGCTGTTGAGAACACACACAGGAGGACGCGCGCCTCTCAGGGCAGTTCAAACAGTTCGGACATTGCATGAATCAGAGGTAAAAAATTATATAAATACTATTCAGTTTCTTGCACAGACCGATCGTTTTGTGTCTTTACACATCAATGTATCGTCACGAGCCACAGGGTTTAATTTGGTTTTGTTTGTGTATGTTTTTTTTTTTTTTTACTCTCAAAGTCGTGATTCCCATTCATCTCCATTATAAGACTGACAGACTGCAACGGTTTGTGTTTAAAATCTTCGTTTGTGTTCTACTGAAGAAACAAAGTCACCTACATCTTGAATGCCCTGGGGGTAAGCAGATAAACATCAAATTTTCATTTTTGGGTGAACTATCCCTTTAAATGCAAATGAGCTGCTGCTCCCCACCCCCTTTTCCAGAATAGAGCTGTGCCATTACAGCTCGTACCTGCTACAAAACATCTGTTTTGGTTCTGATTATCATGTTTATCGCGCTGAAATCATGCGTTTTAAACCATATTAGTTTAAACTTCTGAAATATGGTTTTCTGAGTGCATAAGGACAGAAAGCGGCTGTCACAGCATGTGAGTACTAAACTAAGTTCTCATTCACACACAAGTTTACGTTAAAAACACATGAGTTACAAAAACAGTCGGTTATGTCTGTGAAGGTAAACAGCTGGGAAATAAATCGCATGTTTTTTTAGATCTGTGTGGCAGAACCGTTAGAACCGGTACACCGTTGTCGCTTGCAAAATCAAAATGACGGCGCCGTGGGTGGAAACTTAGAGAGTAAGGGGCGGTAATATTGTAATGAGATCCCTTTGCAACATCACTAGGGGAGCGAAATCAGACGCGCTAGTTTTTTCAGACGCTTGCAGAAAAAGGCTTACCAAAACAAAGTTACTGGGTTAATCTTTTTCATGTTTCCTTTGTTGGTAGATGCACCGGGGACCTGATTATAGCACTTAAAACCTGGAAAAGTCAGATTTTCATGATATGTCACCTTTAACTCAAATGGAAAATGAAAGCC